GATGACCTCTCAATTAGGTCACATTCTGACATAACTATTTTTTCATTCATAACAAACACGTGAATTCATTCATTCTACAACTTAAATGCATTGTGGGAATGTAAACATTGAGAACGTTGCCGTCTCGCTGTTTAATTGTGAGTCGAGCCGAGACATTATATCCGTCGAAAAACATAAACGCAATGTTTCCACCAGTGATGTTAGCCGAATGAAGCAACTGGAAACCAAGAAACGAGGTGCAACGGAGTAGTTTACTGTAGGAGGCTGTAGGAGGCGATGACAACTGACATGCATCGTGACGTCGGTTACCATGGCAGTGACGTCATTTGTGTGACGTCATGCAAATATTGTACTACAGTACAAAACTCTTCCACAACCTGAGGCTCTTTATGAAACCGGTTTCGGTTTGAAACCAAAAACATAACAAAATACGCTTATTTTGTCAATTTAAATGCATGTAAGACGTGGGTAATAAATAAAATACCACACTTTCGGTCTCATAACATCACGAATTATCTGAACTGTGACCTTCCTATAGCATCTGACCTGCGCTTTCGCTCGGTCAGATACCATAGGAAGGACACTCGTTTCGTATAATTCATATGTAATGAGACCTCGTGTAGTATTCTCTATGTACTGGATGCAAGTTGGTGTAAATATGAAGTTGCATTTTGCGGTTTCAGGTTAACCCAGTGCAAGATCTAAACACTTAAAGTGAGCTCAGAAGGACCCTATTGTCTTGTGTATAGTGGGGCTGGGGGGTAGCCTAGTGGGTGAACACCCGGGTTCCATTCCTCACTTGGGTACAATTTGCAGGGATTGGGAAAGTCAGGGGCCATGGCAGGGGCAGGGACCATTTTGCACATTAGAATAAAAAATGGCCCATTGGAATTTTGAAGTTTACTATTGATACAATGGCAGTGGCCCATTCTAAATTCAGAAAATGGCTAATAATCCTGAAATTGACCCATTGTGAAAGTTCTCTATCCCAATCCCTGAATTTGTGAAGCTTTTTTTCTGGTGTTCCGCACTGTGATATTGCTGGAATATTGCTAAAAGTGGCGTAAAACTAAATTCACTCATTCACTCACTAGAAGAGTATAATGCAAACATTTCCCCCTGAAAACAACTCTGTTGAGATGGATAATACATAAGGTCCTGCCAGTTGTGATTAATGCTGTTACACAAGTGATCTGATATGGGACCTGTATAAACCTTTGATACGCCATCTGACACCTATCATTGAAGACACCTTGGCGAATAAATTTGCATCTCATCTGAATCTGACAAACATTTACATAATTAGCTTCTTTGAGAGGCATTTGAAAGTTTGAGCAGTAAGGAAGGATGACAATATGTGAGATGCTAATAACATGTTGTTCATCCATATATTGTTACTCTTCCTTATTTTACATAATAGGTTGACAAATTTCTTTTGATGAATTTTATTACATGAGGTAGCTCTATACAGCAATGACAAGGTTGTTATTCTTTTGTAAGTGATATAACTGGATGTTTCAAGTACTATGTGTTTTACCTGTCAAGTTTGCTGTCAGGGAATATCTTGACATTTGTCCCCAAGCTACTAAAAAGCTAAACATACGAAAGGAAACTGACAGTGACGTGTTATTCTTCCATGCTGCTTAGATGTTATATGACAGCTAAAATTTTATTGCCAGGAGCTAGTTACTACCTGTGCAAATAACACCTGGAGTACAGAAAAATCATATGATATTATAAATTTTATGCTTCTCTCGAGGGTAATACGGTCTGATGTATGCCTCTTTGTAGCAGTGTCACCCGAGCCGGTAGGCGAGGGATGACACAGCTACAAAGAGGTGTACATCAGACCGTATTAGCAGAGGGAGAAGCATACAACGTATTTATCTTACTGCTATGTTAAATTTAATATTATTTTAATTTATGTTAAAGATCGCTGCCGACTATATGACATGCAAACAAAATGGCGCCTGCCTCTCGACTGGATTTTTAACATCAGTGAAACATAATCTGACAAGCATAAACCGGTTATAATTTGTTTTAATTATGTTTAAGCTGAGTGTGCAAACCACTCAAATAGCTTAAATAAAGCAGTGAAAGTCAGTAAAATAAATCTGTACAAAGTGAACACAAAAACAGCATTTGTGCATGGTCAAGTTGGTGAGACATTATTACTCCGGTTAATCCAAACTGCTTGTGAGGCACAATGAGGCTAGTAGTCATATGACTTATCCCACCGGGTACCCATTCACAGCTGGTGAACACATGCAGTTTGGAACAAGCTTATTTGCCTAAAGCGAGATCACAACGTCACGTGTGCTTCATTTATGGGCAGGACAGAAGTCTGAGAAACTTTCAGGAATCAAACTGCCAAAAACAGTGTCCATTCAACAGGCCTAACATTTTTACTGTTTCAGTAGCGAGGTATTATGTTCATGTTGCTATTTCCACGATTAATGTGGGCTTTTTTTGTGTTTTTATGCACAGGGGGAAAGTTTTCTTTGGTAGGCCTGTTCAAGGACTGTCCATGACCAGCGTTGCTTAACTTCAACTGATTTATGATCTGGGGTCTATGCGTAAGACCACCACCAAGACATGGTCACACATGGTCACACACGATCAGTAGTGTTCAGAAGACATTGTGTGGGCAACTTCTAGACTAAAATCTAGTCGCTGAAATGAACTTATTTTACAGAAAAAACAGTTCCTAAATTATATTCATGAAACACAATAAAAAGGAGCCCAGAAACTTTCTTCACTGTGGACCGCCTCCGTGGTGTAGTGGTTAGAGCATCCGCCCGGAGAGTGGAAGGTCACGGGTTCGATCCCTGACCGCGTCATACCAAAAGACGTTAAAATATGGTACTTGTTGGTCCCTGTCTGGTGCTCGGCATTAATGGGTACAACAAGGACTGGTCGGCTCGGAGTCAGTATAATGTGTCTGAGTGGGGTATTCATGCTTCACTGCGGCATGGTATCTCAGTGGGCTAGCACTATAAAACCAGCTTCAGTCTGGGCTAGTACAAGCAGCTGCACATACACATGAATATTCTCAAGCACGACGTTAAACCCAATTCACCTCACCTCACCTCAGAAACTGTGTTAATCTAGACTTGCCACTACTCTAGACATGCTTGGGCTCTAGTGGTATGTTTGTTTCAGGGTCTGTGTGACAGACTCGCCGACCTCATTAGCATATTTATCAGATCCTATTGTCAAGTTTATCGTATTGCTTTATAGCATTAGTAACACAAGATATGTCATGTATATCCTGCATTGTCACACACAAACCATGCCCTCCCAGCTTATCAACCTGTCCTAGTAGACAATTATATAACCAAACAGTTTCTTATAATACAACTCAACAATTGTATAACTGGACATTGTCTTATATTAAAACAGGACAATTATAACTGGACATTTTCTTAAAACTGGACAATTATGTAACAGAACAATTTACTATAACCAAGATAACCATGATAACAGGACAATTATATACCAACAATTATATAACAGAACAATTATGTACCATCAAGTTCTTATGTTATATCAGGACAATTATATAACAACAATTTCTTACATAACAGGACAGTTATGTAACAAAATATTTTCTTATATCAGGACAATTATACAACAGAATAATTTCGTAACAGGACATTTATATAGCAGAGCATTTTCTTATAACAGGACAATTATCATTCTCTTCCCACAGAGGTTACTCCTGTCATATCTTCCTACGTAACCTCTGTTCTAATACGGCCATATTTCCCGGTTCTTGTAAAATCCCCTAGCGGCAAAAGATCGCAACACGAATTATCTCCCTTCTTTCTATCCAATCAGAACACGTGTTACATCGACTTAGATTCAACTTGACTAACACAAGCAAATGTGAGGCCACAAATATCCCCAATCTCCCGGGGACTTGTGTTGATGTTACACACAAGACGTTTAATCGCTAGCTTGTCCGTTGTCAACGAGGGCGATGGAGACGCCACTGATCCGCCATAACATGACTGAGTTCTGTCTAGAAGAAATGTTTGCGCATCGCGCAGGGGAAGAGGTTAAGTTATCTCGAAGTATACAGAAATTACCGAGGCCTTGCGAATGATCACTTTTGAAACAACGTCGCTGATTGCACAACTAAATCTGATTGCCTCCAATCACGAGTCTTGAACGCTCACACCATGAAAGGGCCGTATTAGAACAGAGGTTACATAGGAAGATATGACAGGAGTAACCTCTGTGGGAAGAGAATGGACAATTATATAACAGAATAATTTCTTAGAGGAACTAATTTATGTACATGTTGTCCTTCAAAAATTGTAGAAGATGAATAATGCATAAGCTCATCATTTAGCATACACTGCCTAAAAATGGTTAGAACCAACCAGTATTATATCATTGTAGTTAGTTTATCACTCTGTGACAGAAATCCTAGAAATCATTGTTTTCGAATCTTAAACAAATGTATAAGCCTGGTTAACATAATGTATAAAAACATAGCCTGGCCTGGCCTGCCCAATTTGTAATCATGTTAATATCAAAGTCAGACTTCATTGGTCACAATGTACTAGTTCACACTTCCTTTTTAGCTTAATGCCAGTAGTGTTTTATTAATAACTTGTTTAATAGTTGGTTTGGGGTAAGAACTAGTCCTTCTGTCCAGTAGTCTTGGACTAACTGACTATTAATAACTTGTCATTCTACTAGGTTGGTAGCACAATGGGGTAAGAACTAGTCCTTCTATCCACTAGTCTTGGACTAACTGACTAGTGGGTACAATGTCTGAAGCTTGTCTGGTGTCTACTAGGATTCTGGAATCTTAAAAGCGCCGTAAAACCAAACTCAGTCAGTCAGTCTTAGCACAATGGTCAGCCCAGCCACTTCTCTGGCAAATCAGTCTGGGTTTGATGCCAGTGAAGGTACATTCTGTGTAGATTCTGGTGTCTCCACAATGGTATGGTAGAATATTCTTTAAACTCTTTGCTAACTCTTTGCAGTCAAGACATGGAAAACTTTGATGGAGGATCGTCCAGTGCTACTTCTTTCTCGATGAAGACGTTCACGTGGCTCGTGCTCCTCGTCCAGGTGTTTGGACTGGCGGCAGTCGTCATGGTTGCAGTGTGGATGGGACATTTCCGGGGTGGTTTTGCCTGGCAGAGCAACCCAGGCCTGGAGTTCAACTACCATCCTTTGTTCATGATCATTGGCATGGTGTTCCTGTTTGGCGATGGTAAGTTCAGGGGGGATTTGTTTGTTTGGTGATGGTAAGTTCAGGGGGGATTTGTTTGTTTGGTGATGGTAAGTTCAGGGGGGATTTGTTTGTTTGGTGATGGTAAGTTCAGGGGATTTGTTTGTTTGGTGATGGTAAGTTCAGGGGGATTTGTTTGTTTGGTGATAGTAAGTTCAGGGGGATTTGTTTGTTTGGTGATGGTAAGTTCAGGGGAGTTTGTTTGTTTGGTGATGGTAAGTTCAGGAGGATTTGTTTGTTTGGTGATGGTAAGTTCAGGGATTTGTTTGTTTGGTGATGGTAAGTTCAGGGATTTGTTTGTTTGGTGATGGTAAGTTCAGGGGATTTGTTTGTTTGGTGATGGTAAGTTCAGGGGAGGATTTGTTTGTTTGGTGATGGTAAGTTCAGGGGGATTTGTTTGTTTGGTGATGGTAAGTTCAGGGGATTTGTTTGTTTGGTGATGGTAAGTTCAGGGGATTTGTTTGTTTGGTGATGGTAAGTAGTGGGAGTTCAGGTAAGTTTGTGGGGATTTGTTTGTTTGGTGATGGTAAGTTCAGGGGATTTGTTTGTTTGGTGATGGTAAGTTCAGGGGATTTGTTTGTTTGGTGATGGTAAGTTCAGGGGGGATTTGTTTGTTTGGTGATGGTAAGTTCAGGGGGATTTGTTTGTTTGGTGATGGTAAGTTCAGTGGGGATTTGTTTGTTTGGTGATGGTAAGTTCAGTGGGGATTTGTTTGTTTGGTGATGGTAAGTTCAGGGGGATTTGTTTGTTTGGTGATGGTAAGTTCAGGAGGGATTTGTTTGTTTGGTGATGGTAAGTTCAGGGGGATTTGTTTGTTTGGTGATGGTAAGTTCAGGGGGATTTGTTTGTTTGGTGATGGTAAGTTCAGGGGGATTTGTTTGTTTGGTGATGGTAAGTTCAGGGGGATGGTTTGTTTGGTGATGGTAAGTTCAGGGGATTTGTTTGTTTGGTGATGGTAAGTTCAGGGGATTTGTTTGTTTGGTGATGGTAAGTTCAGGGGATTTGTTTGTTTGGTGATGGTAAGTTCAGGGGATTTGTTTGTTTGGTGATGGTAAGTTCAGGGGGATTTGTTTGTTTGGTGATGGTAAGTTCAGGGGATTTGTTTGTTTGGTGATGGTAAGTTCAGGGGATTTGTTTGTTTGGTGATGGTAAGTTCAGGGGGGATTTGTTTGTTTGGTGATGGTAAGTTCAGGGGGGATTTGTTTGTTTGGTGATGGTAAGTTCAGGGGGGATTTGTTTGTTTGGTGATGGTAAGTTCAGGGGGGATTTGTTTGTTTGGTGATGGTAAGTTCAGGGGGGATTTGTTTGTTTGTTGTTAACGCTGCACTCAGCAATATTTCAGCTATATGATGGCTATCTGTAAATAACTGAGTCTGAGCCAGACAATCCAGTGACTAACGGCATATTAGCATCGATCTGCGCAATTGGGATACAATGGTGGTTTAAGCATTTACTTGTCAGTCATATGCTAAATAATATAATACAGTTAATGTTGTGGAGACATTTTGGTTTTGCCTCATAACTCTTCACCAAAATGTACCCAATGCATACTAGTTAGGGCTGGGACTGGTAACCCGGATACCCCGGACAGGTGGGTAATGAGTTGGACCCGGGTACCCGTCTCAGTACCTGGACCCATTATGATCATGTGACTAATAGATTAAACAATGTAATAAGTTATTCTTTCATGATTAAAAGGTTGTATTGTCTTTGAAGATTTAGACATAATTACATTCACTTCTTTTGAATATTATACATAGTTAAGATATTGCCAAACTCGAAATTTAGCCTCCAAGCTGAAGAATATATTGCCATTTCTTACAAATTTGATGTCAGGAATTAACATAACGGGTATCCGGGTAGAGTAGGGTAATAGGGGTGGGGTACCCGGGTAGAAAATTTGGACCCGTCGCAGCCCTACTACTAGTCTTGTCGTGTCAATACACCAGGGGATGGTTGTGAGTGTACGTGAAATGCGAGGTAGGTTTGAAGTATTTAAGTCAGTGGAAAATGATGGACCAGTCCATTAGACTAGGATACTGCTTTGAATTAGAATGCTGTAGCATTTAAAGTCCCTGGTGGGGCAGTGGGGTAGCCTAGTGGTTAAAGCGTTGGCTCATCACGCCGAATACCCGGGTTCGATTCCCCACATGGGCACAATGTGTTAAGCCCATTTCTGGTGTCCCCCGCCGTGATATTGCTGGAATATTGCTAAAAGCGGCGTAAAACTAAACTCAGTCAGTCAGTAAAGTCCCTGGTTTCTTCACACAGAATCACGTTAAGATTATAACGTTTAGTTGCTTATAAATCATCCATAGTTTTCTCATTTGTAATAGTTATCACATTTAGTTCCTTGTTTAGGCCAAAGGTAAGTGTTTCAATTTTAGTCGATTAGTTTTCAGATAAATTTAGCCAAACTCTGCACATGTTAATTCCACTGCACAACAACTTATTTATGCTGTCTGCAGCTGACACACGTCAAATTTGCACCTTTTTACATCTTGACTCAGACATGCAAACCTCTATGACTTTATCTAGTCGCTACGAAGTTTAGCCTCAAACTATGCCAATATGATTGCACTAGAAATTCTATGAAATTTGAAGAAAATTAATTAAATTTCGGATACATAGACAAAAACATATATTTTCATTAATTAAATACATTTTCCCCAAAAAGAGACAAGAAGAAGAAATGTAATGGGATAATTTGGAAATCTGTTGTTGGGCTGTTCTGCCCGATCTTTAAAAGCTGTCAAAATACATTGACTTGAATGCCTGCTCTGTTCCTAGCCATCCTGGCCTACCGTGTGTTCCGGAATGACAACAAACTGATCATCAAGATCGTCCACGCCTGCATGCAGGCTGGAGCCCTCATCTTCGCTGCTGTTGGACTGAAGGCAGTATTTGACTCCCACAACTTGCCAGCAGATCCCATCCCCAACCTGTACTCCCTCCACAGCTGGCTCGGAATCATCACCGTTGTCATGTTCGGGCTTCAGGTGAGTGCCACACCTACATGGGGTAGAATAGGTACCCTATGGCAGGTGCTTGTGATGTCTTCAACAGGCAGAATAGGTCCCCTAGGGATGGTGCTTGTCTTCCCTCAACAGTCACAATAGGTCCCCTATAGCAGGTTCTTGTCTACCCTCAACTGGTAGAATAGGTCCCCTATAGTAGGTGCTTGTCATGTCTACATCGGGAAGAATAGGTCCCCTATAGCAGGTGCTTGTCATGTCTACACCAGGAATAATAGGTCCCCTATAGCAGGTGCTTGTCATGTCTACACCAGGAGGTCCCCTATAGCAGGTTCTTGTCTTCCCTCAACTGGTAGAATAGGTCCCCTATAGCAGGTGCTTGTCATGTCTACACCGGGAAGAATAGGCCCCCTTAGCAGGTGCTTGTCATGTCTACACTACGAAGAATAGGTCCCCTATAGCAGGTTCTTGTCTTCCCTTAACTGGTAGAATAGGTCCCCTATAGCAGGTTCTTGTCTTCCCTCAACTGGTAGAATAGGTCCCCTATAGCAGGTTCTTATCTTCCCTCAACTGGTAGAATAGGTCCCCTATAGCAGGTGCTTGTCATGTCTACACTGGGAAGAATAGGTCCCCTTAGCAGGTGCTTGTCATGTCTACACCGGGAAGAATAGGTCCCCTATAGCAGGTTCTTGTCCTCCCTCAACTGGTAGAATAGGTCCCCTATAGCAGGTGCTTGTCATGCCTACACCAGGAATAATAGGTCCCCTATAGCAGGTGCTTGTCATGTCTACACCAGGAATAATAGGTCCCCTATAGCAGGTTCTTGTCTTCCCTCAACTGGTAGAATAGGTCCCCTATAGCAGGTGCTTGTCATGTCTACACCGGGAAGAATAGGTCCCCTATAGCAGGTGCTTGTCTTCCCTCAACTGGTAGAATAGGTCCCCTATAGCAGGTGCTTGTCATGTCTACACTGGGAAGAATAGGTCCCCTTAGCAGGTGCTTGTCATGTCTACAGGAAGAATAGGTCCCCTATAGCAGGTGCTTGTCATGTCTACACTGGGAAGAATAGGTCCCCTATAGCAGGTGCTTGTCATGTCTACACCAGGAATAATAGGTCTCCTATAGCAGATGCTTGTCATGCCTACACCAGGAATAATAGGTCCCCTATAGCAGGTGCTTGTCATGTCTACACCGGGAAAAATAGGTCCCCTATAGCAGGTGCTTGTCTTCCCTCAACTGGTAGAATAGGTCCCCTATAGCAGGTGCTTGTCATGTCTACACCAGGAAGAAGAGGTCCCCTATAGCAGGTGCTTGTCTTCCCTCAACAGGCACAATAGGTCCCCTATAGCAGGTGCTTGTCTTCCCTCAACTGGTAGAATAGGTACCCTATAGCAGGTGCTTGTCATGTCTACACTGGGAAGAATAGGTCCCCTATAGCAGGTGCTTGTCTTCCCTCAACTGGAATAATAGGTCCCCTATAGCAGGTGCTTGTCATGCCTACACCAGGAATAATAGGTCCCCTATAGCAGGTGCTTGTCTTCCTTCAACTGGCAGGATAGGTAATAGGTCCCCTATTTTCTGGTGCTTATCACACACAGAGGTTTTGTGAAAAGATAATCTGCAGTCCACTGTGATATGATGATACAATGCTGACCTCAGCTAACCACAACATTCACCCACTCACTGCCTTGGCAACAAGTGTCCTTGAAGTTTAGGGCAGTACTTATGAGAAAAGACGAAAGGGCTTAACTATGTTTCAGTCTATCTAGTGATGTTCCAGTGTCCAGTATCAGTGCTTTGTAGCTGTCCTCAGCTGATTCAGGAACCTCATCTGATTCATTGATTCAGCAGCCTCATCTGATTCATTGATTCAGCAGCCTCATCTGATTCCTTGATTCAGCAGCCTCATCTGATTCATTGATTCAGCAGCCTCATCTGACTTCTTGATTCAGCAGCCTCATCTGACTTCTTGATTCAGCAGCCTCATCTGATTCCTTGTTGCAGTGGGTGTTTGGATTTGTGTCCTACCTGTACCCCAAGGTCGGCATGGCCTCTCGGCGGATGTACATGCCGTATCACGTGTTCTGGGGCATCGCCATCCTCTGCTTTGCTGTGGCAACAGCACTCATGGGAATTACAGAGAAAGTCATCTTCTCAAAGTAAGCAAAGTAGTCCTCCACACAAAGCTGCCAGTGGTGCTGAGTTTGTAACAAATTTTACTCTAAAATACAATTCGTTCCTTAATTTTTACCAAAAATATGCAGAGGTGGTAAATCAAAAGGATTACTTTTCAAAAACCTGTAAAGAGAGACTAATTATGTAGTCTTAAACTGTCAGCGACAAATGTGAGTTTGTCTTGTTAATAGACTGGCATGAAATCTACATATTCATAACTTGCATCCGTCCTATAGTGACATTACATTTGTACTCTTAAAATCCGGGTTAGAATTGGTCTTCAGCAACCCATGCTTGTCATAAGAGGTGACTAACAGGATTGGGTGGTCAGGCTCACTAACTTGGTTGACACATGTCATATTATGCCATTTGGAATCTCATTTATGTATTTCACTGTAGACGATCAACATTGTCGACTTGTGTGTCCCAACTAAGCTTCAGAACAAGATGGAATTCAGTGGAAGTTGACATAACATGAAACAAAACAAAAAATTCCCATGCATGTCTATGATTCATTAGCAAGTCTACATTAGAAGGATATTGTCATTTATACATAAATAAACCAAGAATTTTTTTTAAAATAACCATTTCAGATAAAAAAAACTTTCAGCAAATAATTACTTTGTTACTACAAGTTTGGGCGAATAGAAAAAATAGTCAGGAAATATCTCGAACTGAAGGAGCATTTTACTTTTAGATATCCATGGTGATAGTTTATTTGGTCTGACTATTATAAGTTGTTCACTGGTCACGAGGGGGGCATGGGTTGATGTACCCCCGATGCTTGTTTATGTTCCTTGAGCCCGAAGGGTGAGGGGAACATAAACAAACATCGAGGGTACATCAAGCAATGGGCCCCGAGGGACCAGTGAACAACGTATTTATCTTAACGAACACCTTAATGTTAATTTTGAATTGTTTGAAGCACGGGTACAAATTTTTGTGTAGCCATGGCTAGATTTTGCTGACAAGAAAAACAGATTTAGAGTTATCTCCCTTCCATCGATTTGCATTCGCAAAACATCGGTAATTTCCGTACATCATACGTGATTCAATGTTATTCCAGATAAAGAATTAGTACCACGAAGAACCAAATGAGTTGCCATTGATAGCGGGGTACATTGAAAATAATAGAAGAGCGCTCAGCCAATCAGAAAGTGACATTTATGTGTGAGGCAAGATAAAGGTTCTTATCCCCCCAGCATGTAATGCGAGGGATATAGTGGATGCCTCGTCCATCCGTCTGTAATCTTTTTGTTTCCGGAGCATAACTCAAAAACATTCAATATCTTGCAACAAAAATTGGTAGATATATCAAACAGAACCCAAAGTGGTGCTTTTTGCTATTTACAGATTTTTATCATGTATATTTTTCATCATTTCCATGGAAATGATTTGGACTTAGTCTAAGAAACATCAAGTTGGACTTTAAGTAACTGTCAGATGATTTGTTCTTTTCAATATGTGGGGGCTGGGGGGATTTGTCATCTTCTGATTACTCTTGTTTGTTTCAGAATAAGCTATAGCTCGTTCATCCCAGAAGGAGTCCTGCTGAACTGTCTTGGCTTGACCATCGTAGCGTTTGTCACCCTCGTCGTTTTCCTCGTAACACGCCCCGAGTTTAAACGCCCCCCTGGACCGGAGGAGGAACACCTACAGCTAGCTGAGTAATGATTGGCCAATTGGAAACACGGACATATCATGACTAGGTTAAGGTTGTATTGACATATATATGGCATTATTTCATCAGTGATGTCATACATTAAAAGAATACCCTGAAATTTGCATTTTGTCTTTTGCAAATCATAACCAGCTGATGAATTAATGGACGAACATCAAATGTGATTATTAATCTTTCAAACCTTTCGACAGGATAGGAAAGAGATATTTGACAAGTGTGCATGTTTCACATTGAAAGGAAAAATAACTAATTATCTTTTAAGGAAGTAATTCTAATATCACTGATAACTTTAAAGATGGATAGGAAGAGACAATTCGTATTTATGTAAGTTCAATGTGTATTTTCTGTAATCAGGACTATTTTCAAAAGACAAATTTAGTCAAGCGTGAACAGATGTTTATTGTTGATAAGAAAGCTCCCTATTGAGACATTTGCTCAAAGTTGTTTTTTGTAAATGGACAGCTGAACGAAAAAAACTTAATTCTCAGAGTACATACAGAAGACCATATCTATCCACTTACTATATGAAAGGTCGTAAGTCTGTCTAGATCATTAGTATTACAACATGCTGGCTAGTTACATTTAACAGACCTGGCTTCAAAACAAATATAAATTGCTTGAACTTAAATATAGAGCACATTTGTCCACAAGTCGGAACATTTCATAATAAGAAAACTACTGACATGAAAAGGGAAGTAACTCTTGGATGATTATTTGTTGACTGGTCTGTTGCTCTAATGCCTCACTCCATCTGGCTAGCTGCATATGTGGAGCAAGGATGTGTAGCGGAGGCATGGAACCAGTTTACCAAATTCCAAGTTTCATTTTATCATGCAAGCAATCATAATTTAGAGCCATCAATATAAAAAATATGTGTCATCTTCCTTTTAACCCCTGATTCCAAATATGTTGTTCATTATCAGCTTAAACATATGTTATCTGGTGATGCGTTACAATGATTGTGTCATATACAGCCAAACCTTATCTGGATAACTGGGGCTTGTCTTGTTTGGGACTTCAAACACTTGTTTCAAAACCCAAATCATGTACAATTAGGTTTTAAATTGTATGCTTAACTGATACTGTTTATGAAACCTACAAATCATGATCTCCACTGATATTTTCGGGCAGGTAGACGTTTTTGGCACAGACTGCTTTTGTTATTCTTGTGTCGTGACAAATGGGATGTTTTTCAGTTTAGTGAAATCTAACCAGTGGTGTAATTCATTCGTATCGTCACTTTCATTGATAATTTTGTTACATTCCTCCATAAACCAGACTTCCTGATCTTATGTTGTTCTGGTACCTTGCTGCATGTTTACATTATTACGCACATGACATGTTTATTTCAACTTTGAAGTCTATTTATTGCAAGGTTTATCACTGTTAAGACAGAAACGACTGATTGTTAAAATACTGTCAAGTATTCATTCCTATTTACAATTGTATTATGCTTTGAGAGTGATATTTCTTGTGTGATGCTTCTCATATGTTGGAGTATGCATATGTTTTAAACTGCACTTTTCCGAAAAAGGCCAAAATCTGTACTGGTTAATATGGAACTGCATTAGCAATGGTGACTGAAATATAATGTTTTGATGGTTACCATGGTTACTTGTGTAATTCTGTTTTTATTGAGTGGAAGCTGTGATGTAGAAGTACTTCTGTTCTAGTCAGGGGCAGTGGGGTAGCCCAGTGGTTAAAGCGTTCACTTGTCACCCCGAAGATCTGGGTTCGATTCCCCACATGGGCACAATGTGTGAAGCCCATTTCTGGTGTCCCCACCATTATATTGCTGGAATATTGCTAAAAGTGCACACTGTTCAAATCATTGTTTGACCCAACACTCTAACTCCGTGAATGAGTGCAGACATCACATTTCGCGGGAGAAAGGGTACTCGGTTTTGAAGCTGTCAAATGCAATCTATTCAGTAGGTCCATTTTGAATCTGTGTTGATGACATACTAACTGCCTTCAGTGAAAATATTTTTGTAAAAATGTTGAAAGCTGTGATTAGTTCCTATTTTTGTAAATATTGTTAATGATAAGAAATCTGATTTGGTCATCTCTAAAAGTAATCGTTTGCCTTGAAATGAGCATCTTCCTCCATTATCTCTGTGTCATTTGATCAACCATTAGTGGACTCGATGTAAAGAGAAACTCATCCACTAACACTGAACAGATGGAGAGATTTGATACCAATCCAAAAGTTTCTTCTAATAGTGCAGAGTTTTGTCATTTATTTAACATTTTATGTGAAACCGAATTAATTTTGCTGTTATCCCAGGAAACAGATTCAGTTGGGCATTAAAGAGAAAATATTAGTGAATGTGATATGGTTGGATCACTGAAAATCAGTGTTGACACCAGGTGTTCTTTAAAAAGTATGTGAAGCCCATTTCTGGTGTACCCCTGCCGTGTATTGCTGGAATATTGCTAAAAGTGGCATAAAACTCAACTCACTCACTCTTAAAAAGTAAATAATCAGTCCATTATCTGAGGAAACCGATTAAGTTCATCATTCAAGCCAAAAAAGCTGTGAATATGATATGATTGGATCGCTGAAAATAAGTATGGACACCTGGTGTTCTCAAAAGGTAAATATATCCTGCACAACAGTCTCTTCGTTCAACACACAGGGAAAGTATATAGAGTTAACCTGTACATACACACCACATTATCGCCATGTCCTCACTATTATATTTTGGGTGTTGTTACTGCAGGAATCTGGATCGGTAATTCCTACAAGAATTTAGTTTCACCTTATGAAAGTATCCATCTTCCACCAATATCTCTCTTTCTTTTGTTAAGCCAATCTGGTGCTGGAGATATTACTTCATGTGATGATATTTCAAAGACTATTTTTATTACAAAAACAGGTGCTGCTGATACTGTTCCCATGGTTACAGTGGGAAGAACATTATCGAACATCCAGAACATATTGAAATGTTAAATTCCTAATTTATTTGCAATCTTTGTTTACGAGTTGTGGTAACAGATGTTATTGTTTAAAAAGATAATTTCATGCTTGTTCATTTATGGATAATTTAATGATGCTTTGTAAAATTATTCAGTTTGACATTTCATTTATACAGTTACTCACTGATTTTTGTTTATGGTATTTTTCCAAACCTTAAACTTACAATTCTCTTTCATGACAGATTGATCATTGGACTTATAAACATGTCCTCTGTAAGCTGAGGTCTAACAGAGGCTCAGTTGTTTCAGGTGCCACAGTTCTCTGTGCAGAGTTATGTCCCTTAGACCAACCAGGAACTTATAATCATGGATTCGATTCCTGGTCAGCCCCGATTATGTAATGCTTAGGCTGTTGATCACTGGATTATCTGGTCCAGACTTGATTCTTTACAGACCACCGACATATAGCTGAAATATTGCTAAGTCCGGCGTAAAACTAAACTTATTCACTCACCTGAGTAGGTTTCCAGATTGGCCTGCAGCATACCAATGCTTGTAGGTTTAACCAAAGTGGTAAATGTCGGAGACCTGAATCCCCTTGGACTTTCCTCCTTATATTACTGGATATAACTGGATTGTTCAAATCAGCATGAAATCCAACTCACTCCCTCACTCTGTCACTGATGCCAGATAATATAGTCCAATACTGCATTGTGGGCCTTCTTCACGTGATCTAAGTGTCGTCATGCTGTCATGGTAGCATCTTGTGGAGCATATCTTATCTAAATGTTATAAAATGTTGTAATAGAGTTTATGAATGTATTTTATGTTTGTAATACACTTAATAATCCTTGGACAGAAGTCTGTATTTATGTGGGATGTATTTGTGTGAAGTTTGAAGAATGCAGTAAGTTTGGAACATATTTTGACACAGTATTGATTAACTCATAGAGAACAATATCACCTTGCAAAATAATTTTTTTTTCAGACTTCGGGCATTTTTTTTGCACAGGGTTAGAGATGATTTATACTCATTCTAGCTTCTTTTACTTAGTTTAATTTTACTCAAACTGTCACAATTTGTAGTGTAGTAAACATGTAGGAACCTTCAACCAGTGGGAGAACATTAATGTATGGAGAATGTGCAATACCTGTTGTGTATACTGTTACCATAGTGACCATCTTAGTAGACATGGATGTATATTTGTTACTTTGTGTAAGAAGTCAAGTTTTGTCAACGTAAATGTTGTTAAAACAAAGTATTTTCAAATCTGTTGATTATTTTGTGACCCATCAAGAAACATTCCCCCACGACAGCCATATTGTAAATGACACAAGCACACCAAGGATGTCAAATCAAATAACACTTTTCCTTTGTTGCAAACAAGCATTATATATCACTCATCAGCTGGACTTTACAAGCCACACAAGTAGGTACCAGAATGTCTTTTGGAATGAGATCTTCCTGCCTCCGTTGAAGGCACCCCGGAAAGCATCTTTTATTATCCATTTTTTAATTATTTTCTTTTGATTAATAATTACAAAGCTTTCTTAGATGAGAACTATAAAATAATGTATTCTGAAATTGAGTCTATAGGAGACATTTGGATTGAGAAAGAAAGATTCGGTGCAAAGTGAACTGGAACTGGAACTGGTGATGTCAGTTCCAAAATATATCTTTGGATGGATCCAGGGTATATATCATGGAGATATTTGCTGGATAAATGAGGTGATTTGGACTGATATCCTTCATTAGTGATTATGTGGTATCGCAGTTTCATTGAAGTCAGTCCCGTAAAGGTCCTGGTTAGAATATTGGTCTTCAGTAACCCATGCTTGTCATAAGAGGCGACTAACGGGATCGGGTGGTCAGGCTTGCTGACTTGGTTGACACATGTCATCGGTTCCCAATTGTCGCAGATCAATGCTCATGCTGGTGATCTCTGGATTGTCTGGTCCAGACTGGATTATGTACAGACCGTCGCCATATAGCTTGAATATTGCTGAGTGCTGCATAAAACTCAACTCACTCACTCACTCTTTGAAGTCAGATAATGGTGCAGGTTGTGACTTCCATTGTATCCAATCTGTACAGCTGTAACCGTAGTAACGGCTGTTCTTCCCATTTTGCCTTCCTGGTATGTCCCCTGACAAATTGTCCCTCAACCCGTGACATGTCATTTTATGGAAGCTGCTACATTAATTCACTGATACAACTTAGTTATTGTATGGCCTGTATAAATATTACAGAACCATATGCAACAGTTATTTGTCAATGGATGCTGGCAGGCAATTCCAATTATTGACCCTTCGGCAAAAGATGGGGACCCTTAGTTGTCATGACTGCCTGTGCAGAGTTGCCTCCCTTGTGCAGAGTTGTCTCCCTTGGGCAGAGTTTGCCTCCCTTGGGCTGAGTTGCTTCCCTTGGGCCTGCCAGAAACCTATGATCAATAGTTCAAATCCAGGTTTAGCCAGAAGATAGGGACACTGGAGAACCTGTCGTCAAAGCTGCCACAACTTCCTGTGCAGAGTTGCCTCCCTCGGGCATGCCAGAAACCTATGCTCAATAGTTGGATTCCTGGTTTACCCAGAATTTTTTTTTAGGTTTGTCAGCACTAAACTTTCGCTCAGGGGTTTTCTGAAGCGGTATACACTTGAGGTGTGCATCACTTCATGCTTTGCTCCCACCTCAAGCTGACACACTGTGATATAACTGGAATATTGTTCAAAGCAGTGTTCAACCCAACTCACTCACACACTCCGCCAAAAGAATCTGTAATCAAAACAAGCAGATAATATACGGACAGTATTAATTTCTGACTGTCTCCTTAAACTCATAACTGTAAATCTGATTTGATACCTCTGTTCATAATCATATTTAGGGGTATCCAGTCAATTTAAAAGATCCAATGAGAATGAATGTTCTTATGGCGTTTAATATTAAATACAACAATTATGAATATGTATTCGGATCTTTGTGTATACAGTATATATTGCCTAAGGGTATATGGATGATGTGTATTCACAGAAATCACGGGGAATTTTAAGTTTTTCTCTAAATATAATCATGACGAAAATGTATGTCTGTCACTGCACAATACTAACATATGAGCTGAAGGGACACTGTTAGGTTGCTGATGATAGTGTTGATGCTGTTTTTGTTTGTGATGCATATGCAGATGTTGTTCATGGTTGTTTTCTGTTGTTCTGATCCATGTATATCACTGTATATTAGACTATGAAGTATTTATGTATATTATGACAATAAATATATTGATGTTGCATTCATTTCTTTGTTGTTTTCTTGGATTATTGTTATGTGATGCTGATAATGAAAGAATAAGAAGATAACCATTCATTTTAATCAGAGGTAGATTATTATGATTTGATACCTCTGATTGATACCTCCAAGTATGATTACAAGACGCCATACCATACCACACCAAATATACAGACCAACACAGGGCGGTGGGTTGCCTAATGGTTAAAGCGCCCGCTCATCATGCTGAAAACTGGGTTCGATTCCCCACATAGGTACAGAGTGTTAAGCCCATTTTGGGTGTCCCCTGCCGTGATATTGCTGTAATAATGCTAGAAGCGCGGTAAAACTTGACTCACTCGCTCATGAGTGAGTGAGTATGCACAGTGCCTGGATACTATTTAATAGTCTAGTGGATAATGTCTGCTCGGTGTGTGTGTGTGTGTGTGTGTGTGTGTGTGTGTTTTAAGGTCCTTGGTTCTATCCACTGGCCATGTCACATCAAAAGATGTTTAAAGATAATACTTGTTACCCTGTCTTGTTACCCTTGCTCGGCTATAATGTGTATCTGGTGGCTATATGCGTTAAACTACGTCATGGTATCAATGTGGGCTAGTTCTATAATCACCTGTATAACGATCTTTTCACATGGATCCGTTTTTCACCAGTATTCGCAAAATTTGTAGTATATTCGCGGATATCTACTTTATTGAAGGGTTGTTTTTCATGACTTTCCTGAAATATATGTATTTATCCTTTAGGAGCGTTCACGAGACCACTGTAACCCTTCTGATTCCGGGGCGGTAGGTAGCCTAATGGTTAAAGCGTCCGCTCGTCACGCTGAAGAACCGGGTTCGATTCCCCACATGGGTAGGCTACAATGTGTGAAGCCCATTTCTGGTGCCCCCCGCCATAACATTGCTGGAATATTGCTAAAGGCGAAGTAAAACCATACTTACTCACTCACTTCTGATTCCCTTATCACAAATATCAACTACGCGCCATCACCGACAATTAAATGACCATGAAAGACCATTGAAAGACTCCATTATGATCGCCTGCAACAGGAGCTACTGTCATGAACATCGCAATGCAAGTATAATCTCTAAAGCGACGTTATTCCTATTTCATTATTATGGAACGGGTGAATCTAATTATACCCCTTAACATCTGATTTGTTCTTCGATGAAATACATGTATGTAAATGTGGTGCTTAAAGCTCAGCCATTTATTCTACTTTTGTATATCTATGTACATTACGATGCGGTTGTGTTAATTTTGTGGTAGGCCGTGAATCAGACCAGTGGTTTCCAGCTATGCATGTTATCACTGAATACATTTAAGTCTTCAGCAGATTTATTTACGCTGTGAATTTATAATCCTTTGATGAAATATATTTTATGAATCAAAATTTGTATTTAAGAGACTTTGTTACAGAGAGAGAATATCCAGGGTAGACAGGCTTCTATTCACTATGTGCAACAATATTATGTAGGTGTACGTAGTTATTTATGATGGACAGCTGAACAGACTAGTTAAATTGATGAAAAAGGTATCTTTGAGTATTACAATAGTAACACACGTCTGTAAGTCTTCAATATAACACACACACACTCTCTCTCTCTCTCTCTCTCACACACACACACACACACACTCTCTCTCTCTCTCACACACACACACACACAAACAACTTTTAATCACACATTCATACCACACATGATTGACAGACGGGATAAATATATTAGAGAGGAGTTCGCTCAGACAAAAAATACAGTTATGTAAAGCAGTTGTATGAAATGTTAGCGTGTGTGCTTTTACCAAACACTGCAATGTTCAGAGTACGGTCCCGTGTCCAAGACACATTGTAGATGGACTCACTCACGGAATGCGAAATACTGACGAGTGTACGAACTCTTGGATTGAAGACGTCTGGAAAATAACCGTAGGTAAAGTTACATGTATTTGGATGGTATTTTACGAATGCTTCTTAGCGTGTAGTCGGACGCAGTGATGACTTAGCTTGTCACGTAGAACTCTGGGTTAGATATCAAAGACAGTTACCCAGTCCCTACTAAAAGTCCAGAGTTATGTGCCCTTAGGTCAAGGAGCGTAAAATGGCCGTTTAGGAGTCCGAGGAGACGTTTAGTGAGTGTTCAACGGTTTCAAAGATATATGTACACATTTCCTTTGTTTTTACAGGAAAGAACTTGACTCTCTCTTAACTTGTAATAGGGTGCCTGGCAAACGTCAAAGTATCAATTCTAGGGTACACAAGTTTCAACTAAATGATTTATTCGGTTAAATGAAGTATCGCTAGTTAGAGTTATTTATAACTTTGCGATCTACCCATACCAGGGTACAAAACTATATATCGAGAACTAAGCCAAGTCAGTATTTTATCAGTTAATGGAACCCGATTACTTATCTGTATTGTATTGTTTTTCATTGAAACAATTCAAGTTGTTTAGGAAGCTGTAAAAGAAACGGAAATCAGAACCATATGGTACATCGTTTTGTACCCAAGGTACATTCTTAGGTAAACCGATGTAGAGTGACTCAATCAGCACCAGTAAGCAATTGGTAAAGTCTTAAATGTTCCCCTAACAATCCTTTTGGGATAAATTTGTGAAAGGAGCATTATAACAGTGCCATGGCACAGATCTTAAACTATTCATTCTTGTTAAGATCATGACATGATCGTAGCTGATGAATGCTGTTGCTGTCGTCGCCCTTTACGTCACCCTGGTGTTGATGGTGTCACGTGATGTCCATCCAGCCACGCCTTGTCCCCGGTCCTGCATGGTAGATGTTCAGGTGCTCTCCTGTCGCCGACTGATCACCAAGGACCTTCCAGTCTTGGGGTCCTGTGTGGAGGATCTGCCACTAATAGCAGTTGTGTAAGTACGGACTGTAAATTATCGAGTCTGGATCAGACTATCGGGGAATTAATATTATGGTCAACACCAATGCTGTATGGATAAACAATGTAACATAAATTCAGTTGAAGATGAGCACCATTTTCTGCTTTTATGTCCTGTTTACTTACAACTTAGAGAAAGATATCTGCAACCCTATTACATGTACTTTACATACCCAAGTTTAACTAAATTTTATTTATTGTTATCAAATACAAATGGTAAAGTTCTGCAAGATTTAGTTATGTTCATTTATCATGTACAGATGTATCATAAATGCAAAATGAGAGTCTGCAATTTAGCTGAGTGAGCTTTTACAATTCTATTTATATTTTTGTACTATGTCTGATTGTATATTTTGTATTGTAATGTACTATAGGCCTGTGTATTAAGTACTGAAGTAAAGAGATTTGAATATTATGAGCAACACCAAGCATTGGCGGATCCAGAGGGGGGGGGTTCAGGAGGTTCGAACCCCCACCCCTCTTTGAAAATGACTTAAGACCACATTGAAGATTGTTTTCGCGTTGGCAGAGCCAATGGGGGGTTCAAGGGGTTCGAATCCTCTGAAACCATCCCCTTTTCAAAATTCCTGGATCGGCCCATACCAAGGCTGTCTATGCAGTGAAAACAATCAAGCAGGCATGATGTAGTTTTGTTGTCTCTTTTGCTAGCCCCAGGATAGGTTGCTGGGACCATTCCTAACCTAAATCTCCATTGAGTAGAAGCATTTGTATTAACTAAGTGTAACTGCTGTTGAAGGCAACAGTTGACTATGTTACAAGTTATACAGTGCGGACAAGGCAAACAAATGGCAAGGAGCACAGAAACATTCCATAATGACAGAATGACAATCATTCAATACTAGCCCCTACTGCCTTCATTGGGCCCTTCAAGCAGGGTATGCTTGGGGCTAGACTAAGGTTTAGTCTCTGAATATATATAATTTTGATAGTAACAAACAAGCCCATTTGTATTGAAAAGGAGCCCCAGGGAGACCAGAGATTCAGAACCTGAACCTGAGGAAATCTAGACTTGCTTTATTGAGGGCTTAGCACTGCAGAGAGGGCTTTGCAGTAGGGAAAATAATGTGGTTCAGGGACTGTGAGACAGACTAGCTTGGGGCCTACAGATCAAGATATCAGTTGAATTGATTGAAATTATTGTACTTGTGTGGGTAATGGAATCCAGGTCCTGGTGACCAGCCTGCATAAAATGAAAACTTCAACCATCACCCCTGCCTTTTCCATGCCCTCAATGCCTTAAAAGGTCAATAGTAAAAATGGTTTTGTTCCATTAGACTAACAGAAAACTACTAACTCATTTACTTCCAGGAAATGAATCCACCTTTTATTTTGTAATTTGTACTTTTCGATAAAGTTTTATTTGACTCTTCCAGAGATCTGAAATACAACAAAATCACCTGTTCTTGTGAATTCCTGAAACTGTCAAAGGCATTGCTACAGTCAAAGATTATCTTGTTCCATTCCACCAAATGCTCTTCAAAAATAATCAAAGGCTGCCGTAAGTATTCTCTATAAAATATAAAGTTCATGTACTCAGATTGTTTACAACAGGAGGGACAGGAGCTTGGTGGTAGAGGTGAGGTGAGGTGGAATTGGATTTAACGTCGTGCTTGAGAATATTTCGCTCATGTGACGACGTGCATGCGTGTGTATGTGTATGTGCGGCTGCTTGTACTAGCCCAGACTGAAGCTGGCTTTATAGTGCTAGCCCACTGACATACCATGCCGCAGTGAAGCATGAATACCCCACTCAGACACATTATACTGACTCCGAGCCGACCAGTCCTTGTACCCATTAATGGCGAGCACCAGGCAGGGACCAACAAGTACCATATTTTAACGTCTTTTCAGAGGTACAGATAAGCTGCGTATCTGCGTAAATTACGCAAATATTTATGTGAAAACTCAATTCCTATTAAGTCTATTGCGTACAAGTACGCTTGAATTTTTGTAAATACTCAATAAATGTGATCTTACACCCCTAAACACAAAAATGTCAAATCTTAATATGGGTACCGGTGGATAGATACTATAACTGAGGTAAACTGAGAGGTTCTATTTCAGGATATGAACTTGACAACTTGCAGTTTTTCTTATCGCTTCTCATATTACAGATCAAATATAAATAAAAAACACTCAAATTTAAACTTTATTATATCTTTAAATTATTGGAAAATGGCAAAATACCCAATTGAGTTTGAGTGAGATGAGTACAATGTATTTGGTTACTCAAAGGAAAATTAGGATACCCAATTGAGATGAACACAAGCGAGTACATAACTCATTGACCCAAAAAGTTATCTGTAGCTCTGGTCTTTTGGTATGACGCGGTCGGGGATCGAACCCGCGACCTTCCGCTCTCCCGGCGGACGCTCTAACCACTACGCCACGGAGGCGGTCGCTTGGTGGTAGAGGCACATGAGTCGTGGTGAATAATTCCCAAGCCAGAAGACAAAAGAGTAATTGCATTTGGCCAGGGAAAGATTTCCAAAGGTTCGTTGTCAGTTTAAGAAAAAAAAACGTAATAAAGGTCAACCCTACATAGAAGGCAGCCAATTGGGCTCACTTTTCTGCAGTTTAAGACAGGGCTCAGCAATACTCCAGTTATGAGGGCGGTCTGTAAATAATACAGGATCCAGTGATTGGAAATGATACAGTGATTGACGTCAAGAGCATTGATCAAACGCCATTGGTACACAAACACATGCATCATTCTTATGTATGGATTGCTGAAGACCATTTCTAACCTAAATTTTAGATCTTGTCTGTTGCACAGATGACAAATGTTCATGTCAGTGAATGAGTGTCCCAACAGGTCCTTGAGTGATCAGGGTTGAGACTCGCACCTGTAAAAATTAGAAAATTATTATGCTTGATATTGATACCCTTGATAATAATACCACATGTTACGACACAAACATGATCAAGGAGGAGACTGTGGTCTAGAAATGAAACAAGAATATTCCTGCCAACATCATCATTTTCTGGACCTAAATGCGAATTTCTGTCATCTCGGTGAGTTTACACCACAAATAAATCCAAGCCCCTGAGTGTGCAGCAACAGCTTGTGAGGGAAGCAGATGTGATTGTTACAAGTCCTGTTATGATTCAAGATTCACTGGCATATTCAGTTAATCAAACGGTACCTCTTCGTGAATTCAGTTCATTATTAGTGATCTCTGACATCCAACATTCACCAATCATAGTTTAAAGAGTGTGTTTTATATTACCAGGAACTGTGTATTATTAATCAAAGTGACACACACATACACACGCACGCACACACACACACACACGCACACATAGAACAGCTATGAACAGAACTGTCTGTAAAATCGTATTTGTAAACCTTTCTTGTACTATTGATCTGATGGCCTTTGTGCTGATGAAACTGTCTGTCTGTAACTGTGTCATTTTGCCATGTCCCTGCTACCCTACTGTCACCAGGCTATAAGGCATTACGTTTTTGCTTTACAAAAATATAATATTGATATGTTTCAACCGGAAATGGTTTTAGCTTCTAGCAATATCACAGCGGGGGACACCAGAATGGGCTTCACACATTGTACCCACACGTGGAACCCAACGTGATGAGCGGACGCTTTAACCACTAGGCTAACCACCGCCCTGTTTTTTTTGTTTTAATTCATTGATATTAAACAAAATTCTCATAAATAAGTATTCCTATTCGTTTATATTCAACACACACATATTCGCCTCACAGAGTATTGATTATAGTCCTAAACGTTACCCATGTTTTCAGACGCTGGTCAGTATAACAGTACACGTCATGGCGGCAGCTACTTCCACGTGGCAGGGGCATTGTTCAACGTTGGATCATCGAAATGGCGTCGTAGATTTGACCGTCACTACAAAAAACTGTGGAACATTTTAACCCGAATTGAAGACGCGGGTACTCGTCATTTCTATCTGGTTAGGCTTATGGGAATTATACGTAAAATGGAATGGAGAATGGACAAGAAAGCATTCAAAGCAGAGCAAAGTCTGAAAGGAAGTGATAACCCCAAAGGGACGAATAGCTCCTCAAAAATTGGTAGGTAATAATTATTTTCGCTTAGGCTGCTTTTGGTGGTGCGTGGTCCATAGATGGGTACCCGGTGGGATAAGATGGTCATCTGGCTGTTAACCTTGTAGCCCATCACAAGCAGCTTGGGAAACCAGGGTAAAAATATCAGCGCTTTTGCGCGTAATTTGTCCTTCGCGCCACTGAGCATCTTTGGGGTGGATATTAGGCGTTCTACGAATGTATTATATATTTTTATATATTTTTATATATTTTGGTTGATTCCTTGCTGTAAATCAAGATGATGTGTCCTAAACCTTGCACCTGTTTTAGAGATAGTGATTCACTCTGATCACTTCCTTTCAAGGATATTTAACGTTTCATACATGTCATGTATTAATAGCCAGGTTCCCGTTAAATATAATATATTAACACGTACATACCAGACGATCCAGTGATAGACGTCATGATCATTGAGCTACGCTATTGGGATATGATCTATGCATCATACAAATCACCTTACCTGACCACCCAATCCCGTTGCAGAAGGCCAATTCTAACCCGGATCTCCACAGGTCATTTTAAAAGAATAAGACAACGTTGTTTGAACTTTATCATTGTGGCAGGGTTGTTCAGATCAGATCAGTAAATGTGAAAATCGTTGATACAGAACAGCCTTGAGAAGGAGTTACGAGAGCTTTCTTAAACGACATTCTATTTTTGTATTTATTCTTCCTTGCAGAGAAAAACAAGTTCGTCTCTCACGTAAGTGGTTCGTTATACGCATTTCAACTAAAATACGCAGCATTAAATTTAAAATTAAAATAAGCTGCTAGGAGAAAGGACTAAAAACATGTCGTTTGCGGTCGGGTCACCAAGACGATATATTATTTTGTGAATTTGGTTTTACGCAGCGTTTTCAGCCCAGAAATGGTATCCACACATTGTACCCATGTGGGGAATCGAACCGGGCCGTGACGAGCGAATGCTTTAACCATTAGGCTACCCCATGACTACTGTCCCTCATACACGAAGAACATTGTTTACACGTGAATTAAACAGCCGCAAATAAACACATCAATGTTTTCCTTTGACGCTCTACGGAAATTGTTTTGGCAGATGGGATAATTCTGGTGTTTGTTTGAAATCAATGCGAAACTTTCATCAGTTATTGAGAGAATGTTAAATCAATCGGTCTTGTATCCACGTCAACAGAACCTGGTGCAGGAAGGGGATGACTCACGGAAAGCCAAGGTCGTTATCTTCAGCAGCATCATCGGAGCCGCTGTTCTCATCGCCCTCGTCATTCTCATCTGCAAGGTAGGTGTGTCAACCACGTTGATCGGAGGGACTCAGAAGCACTGTACAATATCTTATGTGCACCCTTGAATATCCTGGTCAGAATTCGTCTTCAGCACACCATGCTTGACGACCTACGAGAGATCGGGTGGTCAGGCTCGCTAACTTGACACATGTCATCGTATCCCTGTTGCGTACGTAGATCGATGCTCATGCTGTTGATCACTGGATTGTCTGGTACAGACTCAGTTATTTACACACCGCCGCCATATAGCTAACATATTGCAGAGGGCAGCGTTTAACAACGAACAAACAAACAAATAAATACTTTAGCATAGTCAGTCGAAGCACCAACATCGCTGTGTGCGACGGGGCCCTGTTGTCGTAGGAAGCGACTGAATGGAACGGGAGGTCAAAGGTCTTGATTTAGTTGATTGTGTGGTGGGCCCTACGACGGGCTGATGCTCTTAATATCAACCATCACTCTTACCGACAGCCACCTTTCAGAAGCCGCCTTAAAATAGCTGAATTACTGGTGACTCCGTGTTCAGCATTATTCACGTTAATTCATGCAGAATGTGTTCGCTGTTACTATTGAATCACCTTCCATTTGTTCCCAGCTTGAGTCGGACAGACGCATAATGCTGAAAGCTCATCCCATGGGTGACCTGTACGTGGACCCCAAGCTGCAGACCCGGATATGGAGCTGGCGGTGAGTTGTTCACACTGTATAGCCTTAATATATTCTATTTTTGTTCTGTTTGTTTGTGGTATTGTTCCCGATGTAAGGACAAGCATGGGTTGCTGTCGCGATACACTGTGCAGTGAGTGTTTAAGTGTGTCCGTAATTTAACGCCATTCCATGCTCTTACTATGACATTGATCCTATGGTCGGGATGTCCGATGTTGATGGTAACTATGTCCGATCTGATGATCGAGATGTCTTATCTGAAGGTCGAGATGTCCGATCTGATTGTCGAGATGTCCGATCTGATGGTCGAGATGTCTGATCTGAAGGTCGAGATGTCCGATCTGATGGTCGGGAGGTCCGATCTGACTGATATTGTGTGATCCATTGACTGTGTTGACTGTGTCCGGTTATTAACTGGTTCACCACTCCAGTATTGATCGGTAGAGGTGACATGCTATGTGTGGTGCAGCGTAAAACGTCATTCATTCAAGTAAAGAAGTGACGTGACGTCGTATTTTATTTTATTTAGGGAATGACTTCAGTCACGTTTAGTAAACTGTCGTCAGATCATTTGACGTTACTTGCCGAGAGATACCATGCCGCAGTGAAGCATGAATACCCCACTCAGACACATTATACTGACTCCGAGCCGACCAGTCCTTGTTGTACCCATTAATGCCGAGCGACAGGCAGGGACCAACAAGTACCATATTTTAACGTCTATTGGTATGACGCGGTCGGGGATAGAACCCGCGACATTCCGCTCTCTGGGCGGATGGACGATAGGATGAGTAACAGGTCCAAACTGCTACTGGTTAATTAAGGGCAATTGAATTACGGACAGCAGGGATTCCCTGTTGGACTTGTTCCGCAATGCTGGTCGGAAATGGGGTATCGATGGATGCATACCTGGCAGATCATGCTTTTAATACGCATGTCACGCTCTCACGACAAAACATAAATCTGACGCCAAACCGGGTTCATATGGGAATGTGCTTATCTTGTGAATGGTTTATTGAAGAAAATGAAATCCTTTCAAGGTATGTGTCGTTTTTATCTTCAGCATGCACATTTAAACCGCTTAAAATAACACATATAGGTGTTAAATTTAAAATATGCTGCTAGGAGAAAGAACCAAAAACATGTCGTTTGCGGTCGGGTCACCAAGACGATATATTATTTTGTGAATTTGGTTTTACCCAGCGTTTTCAGCCCAGAAATGGGCTCCACACATTGTATCCATGTGGGGAATCGAACACGGGTCTGAATACATCATTTCAGTGACGTTTCTGAGAAGGGAATTTGCAATAATGCGTTGGTTACAAGGGGGGTAAGCCCGAGTCAAACCCCACCATGTTCCACTCTGGACTCAGCGTCTTGGGTTTGGAAGCTCTGTGGATGGGGTTGGCAGTCTTCCTGACTCAGTGGGATGTGGATGTGGACCGTTTGTCATATCAATCCTTGGACTGACTGCTCCAGACTCAATCATTTACAGTCATCAGCTGTAATATTGCTGAGAGTGGCGTTAACCCACCCGGCTGAATTGTTCCTTTAATTTAATACACTGATCTTTTGCATAGATAGGGGCACAGTGCTTATCAACCCACACATTTGCATGACACAACTTTTCTTGCTTCAACCAACAGAAAAACCATCTTGTCTTTTTATGTAACGTTCATTTATTGCAGAAACTTTCTCACAAAGCTGCAGTGTTACAAGCGTGACAAGGCGGAACAGGCATCCCGCCTAAACGCCAAATCTCAGTCAACAGGACGCGTATTTGTCCAGCAGTCCAAGGTCGAACCCAGAGGACAGATCCTGGTGCAGGTATGTCAAGTGAGAACACAATGCCCATTTTTTTACATCAAATACGGTAAATGTCATTCGACTGTATATTGTAATGTGTGAGTGAGTTTAGTTTTACTCCGCGGTAATCAACAAGCGTGTGTAGTGAAATTTCAATTTCACACGTACAACTCGCACACCTGGCTGTTCTACCAGCAAGTAGTTCCCCCTCGTAAGAAATAGCGAAAGGTGACAACAAAATAATGATCGTTTGTAAAACAACTTTTTTATTCGGGTGTCCAAAATAATGAGACAAATCATTAGAGTTGGTCTGTCGATTTCATGTGACTGTGCAAAATTTAGTTTTGTTGTAATTATTATATTTTGTGTCATTGCGCAATTCATTGGTCTCAAATGAAATCAAACGGACTATAGGATACGATGACATGTCAACCAAGTCAGACCTACCGACCCCGTTAGTGGTTAATTCTAATCCGGATCTCTATATATATCCCTCCATATAGACAACGGTGTGAAAATAATTCAGTCAAGACCAGACAATCCAGTTTTTAATTCCATGAGTATCGATCTACGCAGTTGGGACACGATGACGTGTATCAGAAACATCAGCGAGGCAGAACACCCGATCCCGTTTATCACTTTAACAAAACGCATGGGTCACTATTTCTAACCCGAATCTTCACGGGTGTTGCTGATGAGGTAGATGCGATGTTGATTCACAACCAACACATTATTATTCATGAGTTTTTCATGATTAGTTGGGAAATGGAACCACTATCGCCCACGCGTGTTTAACGCTGCAATAAACATAGATTTTTAATTTTAAAAATTGTCAATGGAAGGTATGAGGACGGTGTGATGAAGACATTAACATTAGACAAAGAGTAACTGAACTCACGTTGTTGTATATTCAGTACGACTGTATTGGATAAAAATAATTAAAAATCCAGGTGGAATTGATTAAGTGAAGGGTCTTTGACAAAACTCACTGACTCGGTGAAGATAAATATTCTATAATGGATGTTTGTGAAACACTCTTTTCACACTATAATACCATATCGTTTCTGCTTTATTTAACGCCACAGTCCGCAATATTCAGTATTACAACCCAAAAATGAATTCAATTTTGTTTCTTTAAACACTATCATCCGAATCTTCCGCGACAATGGACGCGCAGTGACCATGCAAATTTAGATACAGGTAGCGCTGTGGTCATAAAATCACAGGAATTAATTATTCATATATGTCAGACGTTCCCGATTCGCACCGCTTAGTAGGCAGTGTCTAAAATCCACTTGACTTGATATGCTATCGGCTTAGATCGATGCTCATGATGTCAATCAATGAATTGACTCGATTACTTACAGGCCACCGCCATATTGTTTAGTGCAGTGATTAAGTACAGGGGCTTTGACAGAATTCACTGACTCGGTAAGAAAAAATATTCTGTAATGAATGTTTGCTAAACACTCATTTCACACTTTATGATGACAGTACGTTTCTGTTTTGTACAAATGTGAGCCAATCAAAACGAATCACCGTCGCATTGCTGAGTGCAGCGTTAAGAAACAAACAAAATCACGCTGGTCTGCTGGCCCGAGACTACTGAGCAATGCTAAGCACAAGTCAAAGGCCAGTGATGTCTGTCCTAAGACTAATAGCATTCGAGCCTATAAATCCAAATAGAGTCTTAGTGCTCCAGTTTGCTACGGTTAAGACTGAAAGAAATTGTACAGATAATACCATTTTTGTCTAGTGAGGACTAGATTACACTAGTCCTCTAGCTTAGTCTTGACGGGTTCTACGGCTGTGTGATACGTTCTATGTGCGCTTGGCCCTGATGACTGGTCTAGCTGAACTTGATGTGGGGAGACGTAGTTGTTGTTATTCGACTATAATTTAACAACAAGCGCTCCACAAAGCGATTGAAAAGCTGAGATGACCATAACTCCCATACTTTTTCATACGATCGCTTTGTAGGACGGGGGCCAGGTTACAAAACCTGGCTTTGACTTTGACAGAAGGGATGGCTACCGGCATATTTATCAACGTTGGATATAACGTTACGCTGACACTCGTTGTATGGACTGAACGTAACGTAATGCCGCGTTGTTTGCACTTAACGTAATGCCGCGTTGTTTGCACTTAACGTAATGCCGTGTTGTTTGAACTTAACGTAATGCCGTGTTGTTTGAACTTAACATAATGTCGTGATGTTTGAACTTGACGTAATGTCGGGTTGTTTGAACTTAACATGATGCCGTGTTGTTAGAACTTAACGTAATGCCGTGTTGTTTGAACTTAACGTGATGCCGTGTTGTTTGAACTTAACGTGATACCGGGTTGTTTGAACTTAACGTAATGCCGCGTTTGTGAACTTAACGTAATGCCGTGTTGTTTGAACTTAAAACAATGCCGTGTTGTTTGAACTTAACGTAATGCCGCGTTGTTTGAACTTAACGTAATGCCGCGTTGTTTGAACTTAACATAATGCCGCGTTGTTAGAACTTAACGTAATGCCGCGTTTTGAACTTAACGTAATGCCGTGTTGTTTGAACTTAACATAATGCCGCGTTGTTTGAACTTGACGTAATGTCGGGTTGTTTGAACTTAACATGATGCCGTGTTGTTTGAACTTAACGTGATGCCGTGTTGTTTGAACTTAACGTGATACCGGGTTGTTTGAACTTAACGTAATGCCGCGTTGTTAGAATTTAACGTAATGCCGTGTTGTTTGAACTTAACGTGATGCCGGGTTGTTTGAACTTAACGTGATACCGGGTTGTTTGAACTTAACGTGATGCCGTGTTGTTTGAACTTAACGTGATGCCGGGTTGTTTGAACTTAACGTTATGCCGCGTTTTTGAACTTAACGTGATGCCGTGTTGTTTGAACTTAACATAATGCCGCGTTGTTTGAACTTGACGTAATGTCGGGTTGTTTGAACTTAACATGATGCCGTGTTGTTTGAACTTAATGTAATGCCGTGTTGTTTGAACTTAACGTGATGCCGCGTTTGTGAACTTAACGTGATGCCGTGTTGTTTGAACTTAACGTAATGCCGTGTTGTTTGAACTTAACGTAATGCCGTGTTGTTTGAACTTAACGTAATGCCGTGTTGTTTGAACTTAACGTAATGCCGCGTTTTTGAACTTAACGTGATGCCGTGTTGTTTGAACTTAACGTAATGCCGCGTTGTTAGAACTTGACGTAATGTCGGGTTGTTTGAACTTAACATGATGCCGCGTTGTTTGAACTTAACGTGATACCGGGTTGTTTGAACTTAACGTAATGCCGCGTTTTTTAACTTAACGTAATGCCGTGTTGTTTGAACTTAACATAATGTCGCGATGTTTGAACTTGACGTAATGTCGGGTTGTTTGAACTTAACGTGATGCCGTGTTGTTTGAACTTAACATAATGTCGCGATGTTTGAACTGAACGTAATGTCGGGTTGTTTGAACTTAACATGATGCCGTGTTGTTTGAACTTAACGTAATGCCGTGTTGTTTGTACTTAACGTAATGCCGCGTTTTTTAACTTAACGTGATGCCGTGTTGTTTGAACTTAACGTAATGCCGCGTTTTTTAACTTAACGTGATGCCGTGTTGTTTGAACTTAACGTGATACCGGGTTGTTTGAACTTAACGTTATGCCGCGTTTTTGAACTTAACGTGATGCCGTGTTGTTTGAACTTAACGTAATGCCGCGTTGTTAGGACTTGACGTAATGTCGGGTTGTTTGAACTTAACATGATGCCGCGTTGTTTGAACTTAACGTGATACCGGGTTGTTTGAACTTAACGTAATGCCGCGTTTTTTAACTTAACGTGATGCCGCGTTGTTTGAACTTAACATAATGTCGCGATGTTTGAACTTGACGTAATGTCGGGTTGTTTGAACTTAACATGATGCCGTGTTGTTTGAATTTAACGTGATGCCGTGTTGTTTGAACTTAACGTGATGCCACGTTGTTTGAACTTAACGTAATGCCGTGTTGTTTGAACTTAACGTAATGTCGCGTTGTTTGAACTTAACGTAATGTCGCGTTGTTTGAACTTAACGTAATGCCGTGTTGTTTGAACTTAACGTAATGCCGTGTTGTTTGAACTTAACGTAATGCCGCGTTGTTTGAACTTAACGTGATGCCGTGTTGTTTGAACTTAACGTAATGCCGCGTTGTTAGGACTTGACGTAATGTCGGGTTGTTTGAACTTAACATGATGCCGCGTTGTTTGAACTTAACGTGATACCGGGTTGTTTGAACTTAACGTAATGCCGCGTTTTGTAACTTAACGTGATGCCGCGTTGTTTGAACTTAACATAATGTCGCGATGTTTGAACTTGACGTAATGTCGGGTTGTTTGAACTTAACATGATGCCGTGTTGTTTGAATTTAACGTGATGCCGTGTTGTTTGAACTTAACGTGATGCCACGTTGTTTGAACTTAACGTAATGCCGTGTTGTTTGAACTTAACGTAATGTCGCGTTGTTTGAACTTAACGTAATGTCGCGTTGTTTGAACTTAACGTAATGCCGTGTTGTTTGAACTTAACGTAATGCCGTGTTGTTTGAACTTAACGTAATGTCGCGTTGTTTGAACTTAACGTAATGCCGTGTTGTTTGAACTTAACGTGAAGCTGTGTTGTTTGAACTTAAGGTGATGCCGTGTTGTTAGAACTTAACGTAATGTCGGGTTGTTAGAACTTAACGTGATGTCGCGTTGTTAGAACTTAACGTGATGTCGCGTTGTTTGAATTTAACGTAATGTCGGGTTGTTTGAACTTAACGTAATGCCGCGTTGCTTGAACTTAACATAATGTCTCGTTAGAACTTAACGTAATGCCGTGTTGTTAGAACTTAACGTAATGCCGCGTTGTTTGAACTTGACGTAATGTCGGGTTGTTTGAACGTAACATAATGTCGCGTTGTTAGAACTTAACGTAATGTCGCGTTGTTAGAACTTAACGTAATGTCGGGTTGTTTGAACTTAACGTGATGCCGTGTTGTTTGAACTTAACGTGATGCCATGTTGTTATAACGTAACCTAATGTCGCTTTGTTTGAACTTAACGTAATGTCGGGTTGTTTGAACTTAACGTAATGTCGCGTTGTTAGAACTTAACGTAATGTCGTGTTGTTAGAACTTAACGTAATGTCGGGTTGTTAGAACTTAACGTTATGTCGGGTTGTTTGAACTTAACGTAATGCCGTGTTGTTTGAACTTAACGTAATACCGTGTTGTTTGAACTTTAACGTAATGTTTCTTTGCTTCCCCCTAGTGTAACGTCACCATTGCCCAACGTCTTAAGATCGTTTTTAACAGGAAGAGTTCAAGGTCATAAAACTGCATCGTTCTTGTGTATACTTTCTTCCTTCACCGGCCTCATGTCACGGTATGTCTGCTGATCATACAACTCTCGCCTTGGCGTGTGGGTGTCCCAGTAGTCGATACTATTGCAATAGCTTATTTCTTATTGAATTGTCTCATTTGAAGTCATTTCCCAAATGAATGAATAGTTTATATGACATAGAAACAAGTTGAGGTAGTTTCAGTCTCTTTTAATAACTGACAAGAAGCGTGAAACCCAGATAAAGTAAATATTTAAAACGTAAACATATTGTTGTTCACAATTTCAAACTCCGAGTTGCATGCCGTGTTTGCTTTAAGAGGTAACAGGGGCGGATAACTCTAAATCAAAGTGAACGAATCTGGTACTTCCTGAATTTTGCGCTGCGCATTTATAAATGAAAGTCAATTACTAAACTATCGATAATCACACATACTATCGATGCATCGATAGTATTTCGTTTCTACCATCGATTAATTACTATCGGAGACTCAACAATGGCAATCCATCGATAGTTCGATGCATCGTTACAGCACCAGTCAGAGGCCACTTAGACCACGCTCAAGGGTCAGTCCATATTTTGTCCTAACTCTTAAGACAGACTAATGCCAAAATTATTATACAGTGAGGACCTATGACAATTTTCTGGCTCTGAACATTCTTTGATATTGCATAAATATAGCCAAAAGCGGCATGCATCCAAACTTACTCTCTTTAACATGTATAATTCAGGAGAATGGCCCGGCTGCAGCAGTGACCTCCCTTACCAAGATGATACCACAACAACCCTTTCTGTCCTACAGTCACACACACCAAGCCGGGTCGTCACGTTCTTTGTCTCATCAAAGTGGAACCAGCTTTGGTTCGTCCAGGTTTGAACCAATAGGACTCAGCTCCCAGGAACCAAGTTCGGATGCACTGTGCGGGGAGTCTACCCACTCCAAGCAGTCATTAAGTGCAGCAGAGGTGAGTGTATGTTATTATAAATACCCATATCACTAAACATCTCCAGTAGAATATCGGAATTCCCTATCACTTTAGGGGCCCTTCATAATTTATGGCTCCGTGGGGTGATGACGATTTTTATGGAGAAGCATGTACTATGTGAATGACACTATAAAACCAGCTAAACTCTGGACTAGTCTGGAAAGCAGCCGCACATACACATACACACGCATGCACGTCATCATATGAGCGAAATATTCTCAAGCACGACGTTAAACCCAATTTCACCTCACCTCACTGTTACGTAGATTAATACACTCGTTATTAACACCCGTGAAGATCAGTAATGTACTACAAGAATATTAATGAATTGATCTTCTGTAAACCATGCTTGTCGTAAGAGGCGACTAACGGGATCGGTGGTCAGGCTCCCTGACTTGTTTCACCCATGTCATCGTATCACAATTTCGTAGATGATGCTCATGATGTTGATCACTGGATTGTCTATTTACAGACCGCCGTCATAAACTGGAATTTTGCTGAGTGCGGGGTTGTACCGCAAACGAACAAACATTCAATGAATGCATTGCATGTGATGGGTGAAGTAGGAAAATTGCAGAAAACGGACTTAAACAAAAACAAAACAAACAAAACCAAATTTCAGAAATTTTGTGTTTCAGGAACTTGAAGCTCCACTGATTGCCCAGAGGATTCGGTCAACCGGCGGGGGATACAGCGATGAGAATATCCCCGCTTCAGTGGAGGACAACCTAAATATTGACTGACATCCGAGCTCTACGCGTCCCAACTAGACTCCATATGCAGCGCACTCGCTGATGAGTATCGGGACCGGACATCCGTGATGGCCCTGAGCAGAAATAGTTTTCCGTGATTTTGTAGAAATGTAATATGTTGATAATGAAACGCATTACGGATATAAACTGGGCACAAAAGTAAATGTACGGATGTTTTTTGTTTGTTTTTATCTAATTGAAAGAGTGAGTGATTTTAGTTTTATGCAGCTTTTTGCAATATTTTAAGCAGCAATATCACAGCGGGGAACCAGACATGGGCTTCACACGATGTACCCATGCGGGGAATCGAATTCAGGTCTTCGGATTCTCACTCACTCGAAATTCGGAAAAAGTATGCCGGAAAAACTCCTAAGTTACCCAGAAGCAGTTTTATATTTTGCGATTAAGTTTTCAATTTTTAATTGTATAAAACACGTTATATTTGATAAGATAACACGTAGAAGTATTCTCTGACTGCTAACAAAGCCCCAGTACTGATCAGGCCCCGATTTCTCGAAACAAACTTAAGTTTTTACTCAAGTTTCAAACTGAGTTTGACAATTTTAAATAGCTGAATTTTTAACTCAACTAGATGTTTAAAATAAAAAATCCCAAAGAACTTAAGAAATCTATCCACCAAATTCAATTTGTCAACTAATTTTGAGTTTAATATCGATTTCAGTTCATTCTGGGAAACGCAATTTCCTGCGTTTTCTCAAATTTGAGTAAAAACTCTAACTTAAGTTAAAACTCAGACTTGTTTCGAGAAATCGGGGCCAGTTTTGTACAATTGGTATGAGATTCGACCTGACAATGATTTGGGGTCTTTCAGCAACATACTGTGACGCGTGCAGGGAGATTTGACCAACATTGTACACACCTTAGACAAACATCACATGTCTCCTTCCCACTCTAACCAACCAACCCACTTTCCGAGAGTTAGTCAAAAACGGATATTACTCACCATGAATATTTTGTGTATTTTGGACTTGTAACACTGACACTGTGAACTTCCATATTACAGATCGGTGAAACCCGTTCAGCCGTTAGTTAACTTTTCAGTAATTGTCTCCGAATGACAAAAAGTCCGGATAAAAGAAGTATGAGCGATGAAGCTGTAACTGTTTATAAACGTCCTCAATAGTTCCTAAAAGGGAAGAGGTGGTTTTCCATCTGATATGGGTCTTTGTAAAGCCAGGGTTGTAGCACCTCACTGCAGGTCTTGTGGGTCTATACGGACTTCCCATTGTCTCGGTTGTGCGTGAAACCGATTTTATTTCCATCTGAGACGCTGCTATGTCGTTCTAACTGTTTATAAACGTCTCCAATAGTGATCCTAAAGGGGAGGGGTTGGATTTCCCCACCGCGTCACTGCTGGTGTAGTTAGGTCTATGCAACTATACATCGTCACTGTTATGCATGAAACCCACTTCATTGGTCTAAGTGAGCGGGCATGGTTTTACGCTGGTTTTAGCAATATTCCTCCAATATCACGGCGGGGAACACCAGATATACTGAGTCAAAAAAGAAACTTCACATTCTTTCTTCAGGGCACTATAAAAGAACAAGAGATGGTAAGATGGTTAAATTGTTATTATTTCATTGCTGAGATCTGTGTGATGTACTCGATACACTGACAGTGAGTAGATAGTAAGTAATCCAGATAGGACAGACAATAGCATTCCTAAGAGAACAAAGGCATTCCTGACGAATACAATAGCATTCCTAAGCACAACAATAGACATTCCAGAGGAGCGCTCCTCTAAGCTCCTCCAAGCTCCTCCAAGCTCCTGAAGTATTCAATCTATTGACGTCACGGTGAACAAACATTCCAGAGGAACAATAAAGCATTCAATAGAATACAATAACATTCCAGTACACATGAATAAGCATTCCAGAGGTGCGCTCCTCCAAGTTCCTGAAAGTATGCAATCTATTTATGCCGCGGTGAACAAACATTCCAGAGGAACAATAAAGCATTCAATAGAATACAATAACATTCCAGTACACATGAATAAGCATTCCAGAGGTGCACTCCTTTAAAGCTTCTGAAAGCATTCAATCTATTGACGTCACGGTGAACAAACATTCCACGGGTAGAATAAACCTTCCACAGGTTCCACAGGTCCCTGAAAACTATGCAAACGATTTAAGTCCAGATGAACAAACATTCCTCAGTTAGAATAAAAATATTCCACCGATGTAGAGTGTTAACCAACCAAACTGTATGTGTACCACTCTACATCCAATCAGTGCTCTCATGCTCTACGCAATCCCATCATGCACCTTCTAGTATAAGACATTTCAAATCAGTTTCATCGTCATTATCGACCGAATGAGTTTCAGAAAGTCATCTCTGCTTGCAATCAATATGGCACAGAAGATGTTTGACATTCAACATGTGGACTTTTCAACAGACCAGTTGCTCACGAGTGTGTTCCAAGAAATGAAGGATATTCTTAACACTCAGCTCCATTTGCACGAAACGATGATGCGAACAAGTGAGTTGTATAAAACCACATACACAGAGATGTCCAAACGAATGAAGACCTTAGAACAGAAATTTCCATCGCTATCGCCTGCTCTCATGAGCTTGATGTTGGATTATTCAAAAATTGCTGTCACCACTGAGGATGGAAATTCAAGGAACAGAAAACGTCGATCACCCAACAAGTCTCTTGCTAAGGCCAAGAAGCCAAGGAAAGTGAAGATAGAGGAAAGTGGTCAGAAGCAGAAGACCAAAAGAAGAAATCCACTCCTTTGCTACCAAGGTAACCGTATAGTTTATCACTATGTTGATTTTTAAATATCTTTTCATTTATGTACGTGTAACTGTGTTTGCGGTTCTACATTCACCAATCTTATTTGTCATTTTTAGGGACATGGGAGAAGATACGGAAGCAGTGTCAACTCCATCCCTCACGACACAATCCATAATACCTACCACAGAACCTACTATAGATGACTGGTGGTTGGATTACACTCAACTCATGGAGGACATAGAACAGCAAGAGAAACAAGCCACAGACATAACAGCTGTTGATTCATCCAGTGGAATCATGGAAGATCTCTGTCAGGAAGAGAAACTTACTCCTCTTCAGAAAAGTTGCAGTGTATGTCGTTACAACAATAGGTTGCGTTACATGAGCTGTAATAGTGGGCAAATTCAGTGTCATGTGTGTTGTATGGATCTCATGAACTGTATGTGCTACTATGATGAAGGCGGCATGATGAAAGACGTGGTATCGCAGGACTTTGAAGGTCATATCCTATCAGTGTAAATACAGAAGTGCTTTCATCATGCTCTGTAACATGGCGGTTATCATTATGCATCGTAACAAACTTTAGTGAATGTTCAAATAAAATGAATAAACCCATGCTGTTTCATGTTATATATATATTGCTTAGTCAGTCACAGTTTCCGCAGTGCAGCACGAGGACAAGAAAGAAGAGCAGCATGGCATGATGAAAGACGTGGTATCGCAGGACTTTGAAGGTCATATCCTATCAGTGTAAATACAGAAGTGCTTTCATCATGCTCTGTAACATGGCGGTTATCATTATGCATCGTAACAAACTTTAGTGAATGTTCAAATAAAATGAATAAACCCATGCTGTTTCATGTTATATATATATTGCTTAGTCAGTCACAGTTTCCGCAGTGCAGCACGAGGACAAGAAAGAAGAGCAGCATGTCAAAGCAAGAAAAAGCCATAGAAAAGTATTATTTCAATGCTGAAAATCCTGGAGCTTATTTTGGTCCTTCAAAACTACGTGATGAATTGAAGAAAAACAGAAAACAACAACATATCAGGTTGAGGAATGTGAAACGATTTGTGAAGAATCAAGATGCCTACAGTCTACATAGACCAGTCAAGCATAGATTTAAAAGGTTAAAAGTAAGGGTGAATTTTATGAATGAAATGTTTGATGTGGATCTGGCCGACCTCTCTCGTTATAGCAAAGAGAATGATGGCATCAGATATTTGCTGGTGGCTATTGATATCTTGAGCAGATATGCTTTTGTGCTACCTTTAGAAAATAAGAAACCTGAATCGGTATTGAAAGCCTTCAAAGAAATACTTAAAACTAGACAACCAAAGAAGGTTCGCACAGACGCTGGATCAGAATTTCGAGCAGGCTTTGAGTCATATTTGAAAAAGAAAAACATCACTCACACCATTACATGGAATGAAAACATTAAAAGTAATTATGTAGAACGCTTCAACAGAACGTTAAAATCACTGATTACGCGTTACATGACTCACAACAATACCAAACATTACATCGATGTTTTACCTAAACTAGTGCACAACTACAATCACACATTGCATTCCTCCCTACCCAATTTATCACCAGCACAAGTGAATAAAGACAATGAATTGAAAGTTTGGCAACATCTGTATGTCAAACCTTTGTTGAAACATCTCAAAAGTCTGCACCCTAGGAAGAAATTCAGATATAAAGTAGGAGATCTTGTTCGCATTCCATATCTGAAGAGACCTTTCAACACAGAACTTGACTTGAAGTGGACACAAGAACTGTTCAAAATAGCTCATCGTTTTAAAAGACAGGAAATTCCACTGTACAAACTCAAAGATTTTCATGATGAAATGATCAAAGGTATTTTTTATACTGGTGAATTGCAGAAGGTCAATAAAGGAGAGGATATTGAGTGGCAGGTGGAAAAGATCTTAAAGAAGAAACGTATGAATGGAAAGACTTATGCTTTGGTTCGATGGTTAGGTTGGCCCAGTTCCTTTGATTCTTATGTGGAGGAAAGTCAATTGAAAAATTTGTAATGGAGAAATATGTGTTTCTGAAGTGTACAGACTCAAAGAAAGATTACTTCAAGGGTAACACCCCCTACCACTTTCGTGTGAAACTGAATCAAAGATTGATGTTTGATGGCTTCTGGATAGTCAGCTTGACAGAATTAAACTTTGGAAAGGTAGATCTCACTCATATGAATGACCCTTATGTAGATGTGTTGTGTAACTTATGTGATAGTTCATTGGTAGGACACACTCAATTACCATTGTTGAGACGTTTAGGCCTGAGGGAGGGGCCTAACTTTACATTTGCTAATGAATACAATATCCATGTGATGGTGAAAGAATCTCCAGACATTGAAATTAGTATAAAAGCAAGTGATGGAACTCCATTGT